CTATTTTCAGTCTTTGGCAGGTATTAAGCCAATTTTTCCAGCACCATTTATTAAAGAGGCTATCATTCTTCCAGTGAGTTTGATTGGCCCCTTTATCAAAGATTAGGTGGTTGAGTGAAACACATTAGTTTTATTCCTCACAGGAAGATGATCATCCCGCCCCGTATGACAGACTCTCCCTGAGCAAGGAGAATGGCCCATGTTCCCAGCTTGTGTCCCCCTAGCCAGCCTTCTTTCAAGACACCACAGCAGGAGCCTACTTCTTGAGTGACTACATGGACCATGACTTCATAGAGACCAGATAATGGTCACCTGAAAGTAGGACTCTGAAAATTACCTTAGAAAGCAATCCCAGTTATGCACCTTAAAATTACAGAAAAAAAATGGTTATTATGTAAATAAAATAAATAAAAATTTAATATTTGGGAAAAAAGTGGCTTAAACCAAAAGTCACTATGTAAGTGTATTATTTTTATCATTATACAGTACATGTGTCACTTCTCTGTACTATTTTTGTTGTTGTTGTTGTTGTTGTTGTTTGTTTTTCTTCTGGTACCAGGAATTGAACTCGCAACCTTGTGCTTGCCAAGCAGGTGCTGTGCCACTGAGCTAAATCCCCAGCCCCTCTGTACTATTTTTATTATAACCACAAAGACTACGTCAAAGTTAAGCTTGCTCACTAAATGCATCATTTCTACCTTAAATTCTTGAAAATATCTGGAAGATATTTCCAAAACCATAAACAACTAAAGTTTGACATGAATAGACAAAATATTTTTTCCTTAGACAATTTTTTTTTGTCTTTTTGGGACAGGATCTTGCTATGCAGTTCAGGCTGGCTTTCAGCTCACTTTGTAACCAGGCTGGTCTCAAACTTGCAACAACCCTCCTGCCTCAGCTTCCCAAGAGCTAGGATTATAAGCATGTGCTAGACAAGAAATTTTAAAGAATCCCCTGAAAGTATATTGGATCAGACTGAGGGATAACTAAAACCTTCTAAAAAATAAATAAAATGCTCAGTGTGGTGGTACACACCTGTAATTCCAGCATTCAGAGGCTGAGGCAGGAGAATTACCATGAGTTCAAGGCCACCCTTGGCTACATAGTGGATTCAAGCTCAGCCTGAACTACAAGGAAAGACCTTGTCTCAAAAAAAAAAAGGAGGAGGAATGGTTGTGAGGTCGCGATTACAAAGCCCAAGAAAAGTCTTTATACCTCTGCTGTTTGGAGGAAGGAAGTTCAGTTCATATATTATACAAACCTTGACTATAGAGAAGCAAGGTGGTTCTCGTGTGGCCATGCAGCTCAGGTAAAAAAAAGCCCCCAAATTCATACATTGGTCAGCTTTTCTGTTGCTGAGACCAAATACCTAACAGCCACAACTTAAAGGAGGAAATGATTTAATCCACGGTCCATGTTATGGTTTGGGTCTAGACTTCCCCCAAAGCCTCATGCGGTCACAAGTGGGGCTTTTTCAAAGGTGTCTGGATCTAGAGTATGTGACACTGGGATTGATTCATGGTGCAATGCTAGGATCACAGGCACAAGGATTAAGGGTGTGAGTGCTGCCCACCCTAAGTAGCCTGGATAAGATATAAGAGATAGAAAGAACTGTGGTCCCTTCCTTGTTGCTTTGTAACAACCTTCTGCCTGCCATGAACTGTTTTTCCTGTGATGTCTATCTGCTATGTCATCCTGCCTTGGAGCCAGCAAAACCTCTACAAACTGTGAGCTAGATAAACCTTTCCCCTCTTAACTTTGGATGTCGGGTATTCTGAGAAAATGAGAAAAAGGTAGCGAAGTCAGCCGGCTCCAAGGGAGGGACATCACCATGGGAGGGAGCGCGTGACAGAAGCAAGCGGCTCAGTTCACGGCAGCCAGGAAGCAGAGCGCAGGGGAAGAACTCGAGCAGAGACACTCCTGAGCCCATCCAGTGACCCGCCTCCAACCGAGCCCTCCCTCCGAACAGAACAGGCAGCGGTGAACATCAGCGGCATAGTCACTAATGAATGTATTTACTGCCCCATGACTAAAATCACCTCTCAGGAATCACTTAATCCAGGAAAGCTAGTGAGTAAGGATTAGCTAGCGCGGTCTGGAAGCTGACTTGCTGGCACACACGTTGCTCTCCTAGGTCAGCTGCTCTGCCCACAGTAACTCTTCTTGTGGAAATCAGGCTCTCCGACTCTAACTGATCATATATGCTTGTATGTCTTATTTTATTTATTTATTCATTTTGGGGGGATAGGGTTCAGTCTGGCCTTGAACTCAGTTCGTATCCAAGCTGGCCTTTAACTCAAAATGACCACCTTGCCTCGCCTTGCCAGCTAACTGCAGGTTAGAAAAATATGTAGCAAATTACTCAATTTCACTAGGAGTCTTATTCTGTACTATTTAAGAAATGTTTAAAGTTATATGTGGAGAAGAAGGGTGTAACGTTAAAAGATAAGAATCCAAGTAGATGAAAGAAAAGTTGGTTAGGAGAGCCAATGTATGCTTAATTGTGCCATTTCCTCTTTTGCTGATAGAGTTGTAGGGGAGGAGAAGCAATCCGGAGGGTTACATCATCAGGATGACACAAAAATGTTCATGTCGCATATTTACTAGTTTAAAATGAGGACAGGGCTGGGGATTTAGCTCAGCGGCAAAGTGCCTGCCTGGCAAGCGCAAGGTCATGAGTTCGGTTCCCGGTACTGGAGAAAAACCAAAAAAAAAAAAAAAAAATGAGGACAATTTGAATTTATTAAATATAATCACACAGTTGAAATATATTAAGGAAAAACTAAAATATTTGCTTCTGCAGAATACCTGGAAGATTTCCATTGAAGTCCACATCTTCAGTGCCACATCCCCATCTGACGAGAAGCTGTAAACAGCCCAGCCGCCCATGAAAAGCTGCATAATGTACAGGTTTCCAATCCCTCTTATCAGTCACGCTGGGATCCTAGAGGCAACAGTCACAAGGATTCGTTTCCTCCCATTTTGCAGGGATAACTCTAAGTCTAGTAGCTTAATGCTACAAATGAAAATTAGAGGCTATTCTCAAAATTATACAGCAAATAATAAATCGAAAAATTTACTCCAACTACTGATTTGAACATGAGATATCAGCAAAATTTTACAAAATAGCCTTTTTTTTTTTTTTTAAACAAGGTCTTGCTATGTAGTTCAGACTGGCTTTGAACTCATTATGTAGGCTAGGCTGGCCTCTAACTCATGGCAATCCTCCTGCCTCAGCCTGCTGAGTGCTGGGATTACAGATGTGTGCTACCACGCCTGGCTAAAATATTCTTCCAAAAAAGAACATAATTATTCATATAAAATAGTTTTTAAAAAAGAAATTTAAACCAATCATTCTGCTAGTCACAACTTCCTGCTGGGCACAGTGTGGCAGCATATGCCAATAATCCCAGCAACCTACAAGCTGAAGCAGAAGGATCACCACAAGTTCATGACCAGCCTGAGCTACATAGCAAGATCCTATCTAAAAAAAAAAAACATCCTGATCAGTAAAATGACAAATATAGATTTAAATCATCAAATCATATCATTAAGAAACTACTTAATGGCAAAATATTTAATATGCTTTTCAATTTTTGTCTAACTATAGAAACACCAACTCTAACCATAATATATCATTATAGAAAGTTATTTCTTTATAATAAGTTATTGTTAGGGGCTGGGGATTTAGCTCAGCAGCACAGCACCTGCCTGGCAAGCGCGAGGTCATGAGTTCGATTCCTGGTACCAGAAAAAAACAAAAAAAACAAACAAAAAATACAATAAGTTATTGTTACAAAAAGTTATTCCTTTTGTTAATATTAAAAATAAACTGCAATAAATAAAATTTCTGTAGAAATAAATAACTTCCTAAAGTATATGAAATATGTGCAAAAACTTTTCAATGAGATCCCAGTTGTTGATTCTTTGAAGTATTTCCCATGCAGTTTGGTTTTTGTTTGTGAACTCTCTGCCTACCCCTACGTCTTCAAGATTTTTACCTACTTTCTCTTCCAGTAGATTTAGGGTTTCTGTTTTAATATTTATATCTTTAATCCATTTTGACTTTAGTTTGGTGCATGCTGATATGGATCTAGTTTTAGTCTTCATTCCAGCATCATTTATAAAGAGGCTGTCTTTCTTCCAGTGAACATGTCTGGCCCCTTTGTCAGAGATAAGGTGGCTGAGTGTGTTTGTGGTTGTGACTGCATTTTCCAGTCTATTCCATTGATGCTAAGGTCTGTGTTTTTGCCAGTACCACGCTGATTTTATCACAGTAGCTTTGTAGTATAATTTCAGGTCAAGGATTGTTGTGCCTCCTGCCTTGCCTTTGTTGACAAGGATTGCTTTTGCTATTCTGGGTCTCTTCTGGTTCCAGATTAATTTTAGGAATGTTTTCTCTAGATCTGTGAGGTATACTAATGGTATTTTGATTGGGGTTGCACTGAATCTGTATAACAATTTTGGAAGTATGGCCATTTTCACAACTAAAGAAACCACCAAAAGAGTAAAAAGAAAAACCACAAATTGGGAAAATATTTTAGCCAACTGTCCTTTGGACAAAGCACTTCTATCTAGAATATATAAAAATTTAAAAAATTAGCCGCCTCCAATTCAAAGACCAATTCAAAAATGGGCCTCTGAGATGAATACATACTTCTCAGAGAAACAAATGAAAAAAATACATGAAAATATGTTCATCATTAGCCATTCAAGAAATTCAAATTAAGACAACAATGAGATTCCATCTTACCCCAGAAAGAATGGCTATCATCAAGAAATCAACCAATAACAAATGCTGGCAGGGCTGTGGGCAAAAAGGAACCCTTCTCCACTGTTGGTGGGAATGGAGACTGGTGCAACCACTGTGGAAATCAGCCTGGAGATTTCTCAGTAAACTAGGATTAGAGGTCCCTTTCAACCCAGCTATTTCCTTCCTGGGTATTTTTCCAGAAGAAGTGAAAACATCACACCACAGCGATAGATGGGCACCCATGTTTACAGCAGTGCAATTTATAATATGTAGCTAAATCATGGAAACAACCCAAATGCCCATCAACTGTAGAATGGATAAAAAAAATGTGGTATTTTTAAATAATGAAATAGTACTCAGCTATAAAGCAAGGTAAACGTGAGGCTTTTATAGGTAAATGGATGCATCTGGAGACCATACTCATAAGTGAAATAAATCAGACTCATGTGTAAACATCATATTGTCTCCCTAGCGTAAGAACCTGAAAGAGTTAATAAAATCTAAAAGGTACAACAGATGTTGTGAAAGGGAAAGAAACTGCTCAAAAGGAAAGAACGACTAGGATGAGGGAAAAGAGGAAGGAAAGAAAGAAGGGAAAAAATATGACTACATACATATGTATACGTGTACACACACACGATAGCTAATTGTACTACGAATTTCTACTGCTTTAGTGAAATGTACAGTTAATGTTTAATTGTTTGATCAATCTTATGTGCCTATTTTTTTCTGAGTAACCAATTTGAAGAACAATATGTAATAAAACAAGCATTGTTAATTTCCTATCACCTTGTCTGAAATTCTGTATTGCTTTTATTGTTTTTATGTGGTTTTATTTATGTCTGTGTGTTTGTTAATATGTCTTGGTTCTTTGATCTTTAAAATTAAAAAAAATTTTCTAAAAAGCATATGAAATAAGAATTTGAAAAGAAGGGGCTGGGGATTTAGCTCAGCGGCAAAAGCGCCTGCCCGACAAGCGCAAGGTCATGAGTTCGGTTGCCGGTACCGGAGAAAAAAAAAAAAAAAAAAAAGAATTTCAAAAGAAACACATACATAGACAAACAGAATTTTATAAAGATTTACAACTACCTGGTTAAAATATGTTTAAAAGATTAGTAATCTTCCCAGTTAAACTATGACCCAGTGTGCATTTACCCATGTACACACATGCACACGCACATAGCTGGAAATACTTTTGCTACTAAACTACTTATGGGTGAGATTTATCTTCATAATTTACCCCATGTTTACAAGCTAAAAGGAAAGATTATATTGCTTTTCGAAAGTCATACGAGATTTTTTTTTTTTTTTTTGTACTGGGAATTGAACTCAGGACCTTGTGCTTGCCAGGCAGGCACTTATGCCACTAAGCTATATCCCCAGCCCGATACAAGAGATTTTAAAAGTGAAGAAGAGATCATCAGACTACCAACCACCTCGTTACATACTATCTACATCTACACAGTTACATACTACCACATATTAAAGATCGCTCACCACTCCACTTCGGAGCATTATTTGTAAAGTGAAAGAATGACCATGAGTTGCAGCAAGGTGTAAAGGAGTGCATCCACGATGATCTTGAGCTGCCAGATTTGCACCATTGACTATAAGAGCCTAAAAATAGAGAAATGGGAATGAATTCATATGAGTACAAATGCTACATTATGAATATAGATAGAAAGGTAAGCAATTTATTAACCTATAGCTAAATTATTATTTATGTCCTTATATAGTGCTACATGAGACAGTCTTAGCTAATCCTTTTTTTGAGATAGAGTCTCACTATGTAGCTCAGGCTGGCCTTCAACTCACTATGCAGCACAGACTGGCCTCCAAATCACAGAGATCCTCCTGCCTCAGCTTCCCAAGTGCTGGGATTACAGGTATACACCACCACCTCCAGCTAGCTAATCCTAATAAAATGTGTGATGTCCTTTTTTACATGTTCTAAGAGATGTTTGTGGTACCTGACTTTACATTCTGATTTAAGTGTACATATACAATTTCTAAGGCACTGTTTCAAAAACACAGATTAATAACCACTAAGTTAAATAATTTAATGCTAAGCTAGTAAAAGAAATTTAAACTTTCACTATTTCAAAAGTAGAACTGTAATTAACTGGTGTCTCAGTTTGGAGTTTTACTAGCAGAACAATGTAATATAGGAACATATTTTATAAGATTATGTATAATAATCACCTAAATAATGATATACAAAAGAGTGCAGAAAATCTGTCCACACACTAAAGACCAAAGAATCCAACTGAGGGCCTGGACCCATGCTAATGTCCTGCATGAGTCCACTGAAGACCTAGAGCCCATAACAATGCCCCCGATGAGTCCAGCTGGAGGTCTAAAGCCCATGACGATGTCTCATGCAGGCCTATTTCACGGATCTGCACTGGGAGGGCCCAAAGGTCAATTGTGGAAGCTAGAAAGTCAGAAGCTGATTCAGTTCAGCTGGGTGTTTTAAGCTGACCACTAGTTGTCAAACCACCACAACTGGGCTTTAAGCTCAACAAGAGTTTAATTATTAAAGTATTCTAAGCTCCAGATCAAGATGCTAAGGAGGTTTCACCTGAATTTGGAACAGCCCAGTTTCTATGTATGTATTATATCATATATACACCACACCATCTATATAATATACAGAGTAACTGACTTCAAGGAATTATTTGTCCCACTCAAAATTTCAGCAATTTATTATAAGAATATGAACAAACATTTAAAAGTTTATACAGGGAAACAAAAGACCCAAAATATCCAATAGAATACTGATGGAAAACAACAAATCTAGAGGACTGATACTATCCAACTTTAAGATTCACTAAAAGTTGACAATAATTAAAACAGAATGATAATGACCAAAGTATACAGAAAGATCCATGGAATGGAATAGAGTCCAGAAATAGACTCAACTATAGTCAACTGATTTTGACAAATGAGTAATGGCATAATATAATTGGGGAAAATGACTGTTTCAACAAATGTTGCTGTAATGATTGGGCATTCAGATATAAAAGCAATGAACCGCCAACGGTGGTGGTGCACACCTGCAATCCCAGCACTCCAGAGGCTGAGGCAGGAGGATCACTCGAGTTCAAGGCCAACCTGGGCTACATAAAAGAGTTCAAGGCCAGCCTGCACTACATGGTGAGACCCTGTCTCAAAAATACAAAACAATGAAACAATGAATTTACATACAGATCTTACACTCTTTAAAAAATTAACTCTACATAAGTCCCATGCACAAATGCAAAATGGCAAATCTAAGGAAGGTAGATCAGCTAAAAGAACAGCCAGTGGGGGCTGTGGATTTAGCTCAGTGGCACAGCGCCTACCTGGCAAGCATGGTTGTGAGTTCGACTCCCCGTACCGGAAAAACAAACAAACAAAAAAAAACAACAACAGCCAGTATTGGGACCTCTCTAGAAGGATTCTACAACTCTGGTGAGTTGCCCAACCTCCAAAGCAAGAAGAGTGTTGGACCCCAGAGAACAGGAGTCAACCAGAATATTCTAGTTACTAAGCTTTGTTATCTTTATCGTATAAACTAACTTTGTTTGTTTATATAATCTAGAGCTAGTCACTATAAAAGGTCTTCAGGGGGCTGGGGATTTAGCTCAGCGGCAAAGCGCCTGCCTGGCAAGCGCAAGGTCGTGAGTTCGGTTCCCAGTACCGGAGAAAAACCAAAAAAAAAAAAAATAATAAAAAATAAAAGGTCTTCAGGTCGCAAAATAGAGGCCAGACACAAGTTCTAAGCCTGATAGTAAAAATAAAATTTTAATATCCTAGCGATCATAAAACCATAGATATCTATGCTTATTCATTTGCAATTGTTATAATTAAGATAGGATATTAAATTTCTTATTAACAAAACAAGGAGAAATCTGTATGCTCTTAAACTCTCTCTGCTATATTTGAGTAAGCTCCTCAAAATAGAGGTCAATATTAAGGACAAAAGGCTTATGCCAAGTGCTAGATAATGGCAGATATATATCGTAATAAATTTGTCCAAATCCATACCGTATGCTACCAACAGTGAGCCCTAATATAAACTGTAGATGTTTGGCAGTTATGATGGGTCACTACAGATTCATCAACTGGGAACTTAATTATCAATGAGAAGTTCTTGTACCTTCTGCTCAATTTTGCTTAACCTAAAACTTCTCTAAAAAGCCTGTTTTTGAAGAAAAGAGAATATGTTCCTTTGGTGCTGAGGGTTAAATCCAGGGCCTTGCAGATGCTAAATATTCTCCATATCACTCAACTATACCCTTGCCCCCAATATAGTTTAGTTCTTGTCTCCCTTACCTTTTTTTCTTTTTTATCAGGCCTACATTCACCAAGATCACAGCAAATGATTACTCACTCAAAATTCCTAACAAGGGTTCTAGGAAGAATAACCTCCATGATTTAGTCTGATCCCTACCAACTAGCCAATAATCATCATCTGTGATACACTGAGTGCTTACTGGGTTTGAAGTGTCAGGAGGAATGTACAACTTAGGAATTCAGTACATATATAGACAAACATAACCATACAGGGGCTGGGGATTTAGCTCAACGGCAAAAGTGCCTGCCTGGCAAGCGCAAGGTCGTGAGTTCGGTTCCCGGTACCGGAGAAAAACCAAAAAAAAACAAACATAACCATACAAAGAAGTTTTTGATAAGGAAATACACATGGCACAGGACCAAAAGAGCACTACAAAGCTCTGAAGGAAGAAGTCACTTTGAGGAAGAGGAAAATCAAGGAACAGCGTGGGAGTGATATGAACTAATGGGTGGAGGAAGGAAAGCATCAGGCAGAGCTTCACTGACACTGGTATCTCCTGAAGTTATTGTTGTTTTGTGTGTTTCATTGCGCAGCTTCTCAAATTAATGCCTCCCTAACCCAACTCCAAATCTATCTGCAAACTGGGAGCCATCCCTACCCTTGCATGAAATATAGCCAGCCTCCCCCTATAGTGAGTTTAATGGCATCTCCTTACATTTTTTGCGGGGAGGGTTTTTTGTTTTTTTCTGGTACCAGGAATCAAACTCATGACCTCGCACTTGCCAGGCAGGCACTGTGCCGCTGAGCTAAATCCCCGGCCCCTCCTTATGCTTTATATCCCTTAGTTTTATCCATAAATGATATGCTGCCTGTCTCCTTCCTCTTCCTCCTCCCCCTCCCTCCTCCCTTCTCCTTCTTCCTCCTCCTCTTCTTCATCTTCGTCTTCTTCTGCTCTTTTGAGACAGTGTCTTCCTATGTAGTTCAGCCTGATCTTGAACTAATTATGTAGCCACGGCTGGCCTTGAACTTGCAGCAATCCTCCTTCCTCTGCCTCCCAAGTGCCAGGATGACAGACGTGCACCACCATGTCCAGCTGCACTGCCTGTCTTCTTAAAACAAACTTCCTTCACTCCTACAGCCCTCTTTGATCCTGCTTCTCCCATCTTCCTGATCGTCCTTCTCTGAGGTGTTTATACATGTCTGTTTCTCTCCATACCTATTAGTATCATTCTTCATCATTCAGCCTTTAACACTCTAAGCTCTTCTCTATATTCTCTTATTCCCGAAGCCTCTCTCTCCAGTCCCCTTTCCAGCTGCCTAGACTTTTTCTTCTACAATGGTCTACAGTCACTTTAAACTCAACATACACCAACTAGAACTCAGCAACTTTCCTTCCAAATCTTCCATGCCTTTCAGATTTCCCTACCCACTATCTGTCAATCTGACTCAAAACTTTAAGTTCGTACTGTCAATGACATGTCTGTCACTGCCTACTTTGTATGATGTCTTGTCTCATTTTCTTTTTTTTTCTGCCACTACTTGATTTTACTCTCTCTGGTTAGTGACTACAGCAAAAAATATTTAACTAACCACCTTGCCTTTAAACTGTCCTTACCCCTGGTAATTCTAGATACATATCTGCTGGAATAATTTCCTGAACTGTTCCATTACCTCAGTCCCCTTTTAATGTCCATGTAAATATATGTAAATGTATATATCTACATGTTTATGCATAGATATATACCTATTTTATGTGTTTGTATATATATAATGGATAGTGCATCTGTAAGGTTATTTCTATACAGGTGAATCCAAAATCTTTATTCTGAGATATTTCATAAATCCAGTCTGTCCAAACTGAGTTTATAACAATCTATACCACAAATCATTTATATTGAGTCAAACCCATATAATGGTATATCCCCTGAACACATCTCAATTTTTCAATTCAGGGCCTTCACACAGAAAATATAGTACAGAGAACAGGAAAAGTCCAGGTTCAAATCCTGGCTCTGTCACTTGCATACACAAGATACTTAACATTCTGATTCTATTTCATAATCTATAAAAAGGGAAACTCATAGAATTATTATATTAAATGAAATGCGTGAGACAGTATAAATGACACATAATGTTCAATAGATGATACTCATTTTTATTTGCTCCTGACATATTCCCTTTCTATAATGCTTCCTCCTCACCAGTTCTTTAAAATCAACCTACTGGTGACGCACACCTGTAATCCCAGCACTCAGGATGCTGAGGCAGGATGATCGTTACAAGTTGTAGACCAGCCTGGGCTACAAAGTGAGCTCAAGGTCAGCCTGAACTGCATAGTGAGACCCTGTCTCAAAAAGACAATAAATAAATAAATAAATAAAAACAAAATCTACCTACTCTCTTAGGCTTAGCTGCTATTTTATCTCTTCTACTCAATTCTCGCTCCTCCAAAGTTAAACAAATCTTCACATCTACACTTATTATAAGATATTTAATAAACTTTGGTTTATATTGTTCTGTAACTAATTCATAATAGCTAAGTCTTAGAAGTGGCCCATATGTCCATCAGCAGATGAATGGATAGAGAAAATGTGGTATTTATACACAATGAAGTATTATTTTGCCTTAAAGAAAGATAAACTTGAGTCATGTGGAAAAATGGATGTACCTTGAGTCCATACTATGAAGTAAAACATATGATACACATCAACTTAAATATTGATTGCATGGTTTCTCTTATATTAGAAACCCAAAATATAAATATCAGGCAAAATAAAAGATAATACGAAGTGGGGAACTAGATCTTTTGCAAATGGGAAGGGATCAAGAGACGGAAGGAAGAGGGGATAGCACAGGAGGGGGTGAAAAATGAAATGATACATATTCTGTACATGTACCAACTCCCCACAAGGAATATAATCATTATGTACTGTAAACATGTACTAATAAAAAATACTATTTGAAGAAAAACAGAGACTGAAAATACTACAAACTGGGAAGTTTATTAATAAGAGAAATTTATTTCACACAGTACTAGATGCTGAGAAGTCCAAAATCAAAGGACTAGAAGATATGTCTGATAATGGCCTTTTCCAAATAAACACAAACTTTTTACTGTATCCTTCGATGAAAAGACTAACAAGCTTTCTGAAGTCTTTTTAGTATTTTTTTAAAATTTGATTTTCTCTTTTTAAGACTGTTTCACTATGCAGTTTGAGCTGGCCTTGAACTCACTTTGTAGGCCAGGCTGACCTTGAACTCATAGTGATCCTCCTGCCTCAGCCTCCTGAGTGCTGGGATTAGAGGCGTGCACCACAACTGGCTCTGACGTCTTTTTCTATAAAGTAAGTAATCCTATTTACCAGGGCAGAGCCCTCATGACATAATAACCTCCTCAAGGTGCCCAATCCCTAGTAACATCAGCTCAGGGGTAAAGATTCAAGCATATCTGGGTTTTTTGGGGGTTTTGGGTTTTTTTTTGGTTTTTTGTTTTTGTACCAGGAACTGAACTCAGGACCTTGCACGTGCCAGGCAAGCACATGCCACTGAGCTAAATTACTGGCCCCTCAACATATTTGTTTTGGGAGAACATGAACATTTAGACCACAGCAGGAAGCTACAAAACAGATAATCTAGACATGACTATGACGTCCCTCAAACTAACCCAAAAAGTCAATTACTTAAGAAATTAAGGGACTTTTGGTCTCATATCATTTGTTTAAATGTATAGTTGGTATCAAAATCTGAGTAACTGGAGTCTAGTAACTTCTTACTTAGACTACGTAATGATATCTATTGGGTCATATAATTAGCCTTACAGCAATAGCCTAACAGAACTATGCTAACACAACTGAACTCACTGAATTAAAAAAAAGAAGAATAACCAAAGTTGGTATTACCTGCATGCAAGCATCTTGACCCCTGATTGCAGCTATGTGAGCTGCAGTCCAGCCTCTTGTAGTTACTTGTGTGATATCAGCTCCATGCCAGAGCAGCCAATGAAGACACTAAGAAAATGACATTAAAAAGTGATAATACAATTCTACAACTTTTAAATTTAGTCTATTATCACAAAATTCCCACTATAGCCTGAGAAAGGGGTCAAGCATAAGGAAAAAAAACCACAATGACATGGTAGCCAAAATTTGGCCTACTGGGTAAAACACAGGAGTAGTATGAATCTATGTGATGCAGACACTACTCAATTACAGGCAGTTGTGAGAAAGCCAAACAAAACATATCTGTGAGCCAAAACCATTCAAGGACTGCCAGTTTGCAATTTCTAGGATAAATTTTTCTTTAACTTAATACACGGGGCTTCACTATGTTGCCTAAGCTGACCAATACTCCCAGGTTCAAAGGATCCTTCTGTCTCAGCCTCCCAGGCAGCTGAGACTACAAGCACATGCCACTGTGCCTGTCTTCTACTATAAATCTGTAAATGAATCTAAAAGCTTTTATACCAGAATAAACACTGTTACTTGGATGATACCCTTTAAAAAAAAAGAAGTGATTTCTTTAAAAAAAAAAAAAAAGACGGAGACTGCCAGGAAAATGGTGGAGTGGTAAAGAACAGAAAAATAGCCTCTCCAAGATTTGGTGCCCATTTGCTGGACTATACCAATGTGAGGAACAGAAGTAGGAAAGTGGGTCCCCAGGACCCAGCAAGGATCTGAAACAAGAATTGAAGCCCACAAGGAGAGGAAAGAGACCTCAATGCAGGAGGAGGTGGCAAGCCGTGCTTTCTCGCTGAGCCCCAGCTCACTGCATGGGAGGGACAGCTCAAGCCTACAGACACGTGGTGCCTACTGACAATCCAGAAGCCTCTGTGGAGAAATGCACCACTGGAAGGGAGCAATGCAAGCAGCAGACTGCAGGTGGTAGTGAGTTACTCAGGTTCACACATCTCCCAGCACGGGGCGATTGGTAGCCATCTTGGAGAGATGCCAACTGAACTGAGTCAGAACTCAGAGCAGCTGTGGGTTAACTCGATCTAGCAGCTCCCAGTGTCAGGGTCAGGCAGAACGGAGTACAAGTCTGCAGGAAGTCAAGGAGCCTAGCTCAAACCAGCAGGAGGCACACAAGTGTTGCTGGTGGAACAAATCTGGTTCCAGCATCACGGACAAAAACCAGCCTCAACTTTAAAGGAGCTAAAGGTTCAGGATTGCTGGAATTACTTACTATGCCACTGTAAATCTACAGCTGGCTTGCTGGGATTAATCAACACTGATTTGGGGTCTGTCTGCCCACTCTGTCTCCAAGTGACAGCAGAAACACACCCAGAAATGGATATTTTTAGTTCTTTTTTTTAATTTTAAAAATAGAAGGAGGAAAGCATTAACAGACAACCTTTTACAAAATAGCAAAAGAACAGTACAGACA